GTCAGTTGCCCATTGGTTGATTGACATAATACTTCTATGACCAGCTACCCATGTAGTTTCACTGCACTTGGTTTATTTAATAAGAGATGTTACCAGTATAAACATATAATAAAATAAAATAAAACACAAAATAAACACAAATAAAAATACAGACCAGAATCTAGAACAAATCATGCTTGCCAGGGGTGTTAACTCAAGGCCCGTGGGCTGGATCTGGCCTGTGGGGCCGCCCTGTAAACAGTGAAGGACCGGCTAGGGGTGCCTCTGACAGAGAAAACAGAGCTCAGGGGCCCTCCCAAGCTCCCTTTTCGCTGGCAAAGGGTTGCAGGAGGCCGTCACAGTTGGAAACAGAGCTCGGGAGCCTGTTTTCGCTGGCAGAGTGCTTGGGTCACCACAGGTGCCCCTACACGAGTGATGTTGAGCTGGCCACACGCACCCCAAAGTTCTGTGCAGAAATTGCCCACAAACAACCCCAAAGTTTTTATCAAAACCTGACATCATAACTTCATGACCCTGCTTTGGTCATGAAACAGCAACACCTGTAGAACATGGCTCTGGAATGGGAATTAGAAGTCTGAGATTTTCACAATAAAAAAAGTTTTGTAGCTACATAAAGATTCCCACTTCACCTTTATGCTCCTTGAAACAAGAATTTTAAAAAAGTAGGTTAGCCCAGAATATGCTTTAAACCCAGTGGTGGGATTCAGCCAGTTCACACCACTTCGGGAGAACCGGTTGTTAACTTTCTGAGCAATTTGGTGAACTGGTTGTTGGAAGAAATCATTAGGGCAGAGAACCAGTTGTTAAATTACTTGAATCCCACCACTGTCTAAACCTCTAGACCAGGGGTGTCAAATTCAAGGCCCGGGGACCAGATGCTGCCCACAAGGTGCTTAGATCTGGCCTGTAGGGCCACCCTGGAAGCAGCAAAGGACTGGCCCACGGTGCTTCTGCCAGTGAAAATGGAGCTCACAAGGGCCGCGTGCAGCCCTCCCGAGCTCCATTTTTGCTGGCAGAGGGTTGCTGGAGGCTGTTCCAGTTGAAAACAGAGCTCAGGAGGGCCATGTGTGGCCCCCAAAGTCCGTTTTTGCTGGCAGAGTGCTCAGGCCACCACAGGCACCCCAGACATGAGAACGTCAGGCTGGCCACAACCAACTTGGCCATGGCCACCACAGCCCCTGAGGTCAAACAACCCTGATGCGGCCCTCAATGAAATCGAGCTTATCGATATGCATGCATATAGGGGGAATAAAATTGAACTGAATTGTAATTGGATAAGTATCCTTGCTTGGAGAGAGAGAACTGGTCTGAAGCGGTACTTTACATGGACATGTTTCTATTTTTCCTTTCCTAAAGTGATAAAATAAAAGCAATACATTAATCCATATTTGAATTAAAATAACTGCACAGTTGCTTAACATTTCACTTCTTGGTTCGCCTTCTGAAAGGGCTTTGTTACTCAAGTTGGTAGATAGAAAGTAGAACTAAAAGGAAGTTTCTCATTTGTCTTTTTTTTTTTTTTTACCAGAAATGATTTTTATCATTTTGTAGCTTGTGCTACAATAAGGGCAATGATATGCAACTTCCTGAACAATTCAGTCGTGGCGGGGACATAGTCCTCAGCGTGCAAAATAAATAAATGAAGAACAGTAGCTGCTGCTTCTCCTTTCAGAGAAATCACATGGGCCCAAAGTTTATTCCCAGGCTCATAAGCAGTGCAAAGAGTTTAGTTCCTTATTCTTTTTCCCTTTCTTGCCATTCTTACCCAATAACTGGCAAATACAGTAACAGAGTCTTCCTTATCTCTGTGCGCTTAAAATTAACTGGAGCAAAGGGAAATTTCTGCTTCAGAGAAATGGGGAATTTTCTGCTAAGGCCAAAGATAATGTTTGCAGAGAGCGTAGATTTTGACCATGCAACTCCACACACAAGAATGTAAAAAGTCAATGGTGTCTGCTCTGTTTTCTCAAGTAGAAAGCACCTAAGAGAATTTACTTCCTTTATTCACAAATAAAAGGAAGGACTCACTGGAGAAGAGCCTAATGCTGGGAACGATTGAGGGCAAAAGGAAAAGGGGACAACAGAGAATTAGGTGGCTGGATGGAGTCACTGAAGCAGTAGGCATGAGCTTAAATGGACTCCAGAGGATGGTAGAGAACAGGAAGGCCTGGAGGAACATTGTCCATGGGGTCGTGATGGGTCGGACACGACTTCGCAGCTAACAACAACAACAAATTCACAAATAAACTAAGAGAATAAAAATGAAAGAAAACAGCAAATAGCCCTGTAAATTATATTAATCCATCAGTTACATCAGTTCTTCTTTGAACTATATACAGATAGTTCTTAACTTACAACAGTTCATTTAGTGACTTTCAAAGTTACAACAGCACTGAAAAAAGTGACTTATGACTGTTTTTCCCAGTTACCACCTTTGCAGCATGCCCATTGTCACGTGATCACAATTCAAATGCTTGGCAACTGGTTCATACTTACGACGGTTGCAGTGTCCCAAGGTCATGTGATCCCCTTTTGCGACCTTCTGAGAAGCATAGTCAATGGGGAAACCATATTCACTCAACAACCGTGTTGCTAACTTAACAACTGCAGTGATTCACTTAACAACCGTAGCAAGAAAAGTCGTAAAATGGTGTAAAACTCACTTTACAAATTCTCACTTAAACTCAACAGAAATTTTGGGCGCAACTGTGGTCTTACGTTACCTGTACTATAAGTCTAATGTAGTTAAGAAAGTTTATTTCTAACTCCAGCATGATGTGCAACCCCAGAAAAGAGGCCACGTTAGAGGAGAGGAACCCCTTTAACACCAAAGTTAAACCTCGTTTATGATGAGTATTACGAGTAATCTCCACTTCAGTCTTTAAGGCCATCAACTGTATAACCACTCAAACTAGAATTATTAAATGTTCTACGTTTTCACAAGGAAGCTGTTAACATCTCGTTAATAATGCAGCAAAAGCTACATCAATTCATGTGCACTGCAGCACGCACTTATTTTGATGTGAGAAAGTTGCTTACCGCTTCAGCCTTGAAATTCATGCTTATTTCACTTCCGAGCAAGCTTTGAGCAAAAGCAGTACAGACATTCCTTGGCACAGTCTCCTATTTCAAGGAGGCAGTTAAGCCCAGGTGTTTAGCATTAATATTCCAAGATTAGGTCATATTTTCTAGTCTTAGCAAAAGAAAAGACATAAAGATACCATAAATTCATGGCTTATTATCAGGGCTAGTTCCAGAAAAGTGCTGAGTATTTTTCATTTTTGGACCACCCTCGATGTAACTTCGTTTGTGCTGCTTCAGGTTGTGAAAACAACATCTTCATTTAGGCTAAACCCAGCTGCTTAAACAGAGTCTTCTACCGATAACCTCCCACCGGCCAATACGCTCTCACAGAGAGGGCCTCCTCAGGGTGCCGTTGGTCAAGCAATGTCGGCTGGCGGCCCCCAGGGGGAGGGCCTTCTCTGTGGGAGCACCTGCCCTCTGGAACGAGCTACCTCCCGGAATACGGCTGATTCCGGATCTCCGCACTTTCCGTAAGGCCCTGAAGACGTTTTTATTTCAGCAAGCCGGCCTGGCCTGAATAGGTTTTAGGGGTTTTTAATTGTATTGCTAGGGGTTTTAAATTGGGGTGGCCATTTATTTAATTTATTCTTAATTATTTTAACTTTTATATTGCATGTTATTTTAATTCTCGGCTGTTCACCGCCCTGAGTCCCTTCGGGGAGAAGGGCGGGATATAAATTTAATAAATAATGTTATTTTAAGGGAAAAAAGCAATTTATTTCTTAAATTGCTTTTATCCCCTTGGTGCTGAAATAAGCCCAGGCTATAGTACCAATCTGTCCAGATCAGAAATGTTCATCTCTAATATACCATAGTTTCTTTTTACTCTAACATTCTGGCCATGGGCTTATCCCAGGGGTGCTATTCAGCAGGTTCTGACAGGTTCTGGAGAACTGGTAGCGGAAATTTTGAGTAGTTTGGAGAACCGTCAAATACCACCTCTGGCTGGCCCCAGAGTGGGGGAGGGAATGGGGATTGTGCAGTAGCCTTCCCCTGGAGTGGGGTAGGAATGGAGTTTTTGCAGTATCCTTCCCCTAGAGTGGGGTAGGAATGGAGATTTTGCAGTATCCTTCTCCTGGAGTGGGGTGGGAATGGGGATTTTGCAGTATCCTTCCCCTGCCATGCCCACCAAGCCACACCCACAGAACCGGTAGTAAAAAAATTGAATTCCACCACTATCCTCCGAATGTGCAGGTAATCCTCAATTTATAGCCATAATGGAGCCTGTCCATTGATAAGTTGTAATGGTTGTAAAGCAAAGCATCATGTGACCGACTTGATTTTTATGACATTTTTTGCAATGGTCATTAAGCGAGTCATTATGATTATTAAGTGAATCCATGGTTGTTAAGCAATGCCACAGTTGTTAAACAAACCCATTGTTTGCTATGGGCATTTTTTTTTCCAAAAACCAGAAGTAAATGCTAATCACCAGGCATCAAAAACTGACCTGAAGATACGAATAATCAGGACTTCCACAATAGGCTATAGAGATGTCAAGATAGACATTTATTTTTATGTCAGTTTTTTTTTTTTAATTTGATTTATATGCTGCCCTTCTCCGAAGACTCAGGGCGGCTTACAATGCGTTAAGCAATAGTTGATAAGTTGATAAATCTTCTGTGGAAAACCTGGAGAAATGTCCCTCACGGATTTCATTTTTAGCCTAATGGAGCAATAAGACAAAACTTTCGCAGTGTCAAAAGTTTTTAAACGCTTCTTGACAATGAAACACTGTACAGTTCAGAGGTTGATAATTAAATATCTCATTGGTCCCAGAGACTGTCAGTCCTCCCAAAGGTTTTGCAGCCATCCAATCTCCAAACTCTGCCGAGCCTTCTAGAATTGCCAGGCTAGCAATTACAGATATCAATTCAGGCCACTCCTTCCCCCGTTTCTCTGATAACTCCACTGCATACGTATGCCTAGGAACTGCAGGAAAGCAAGCCAGCTCTATACCAAGCAGTCGTTCCCAGCTGGTTGGAAGGTATGTTCCAACTTTGTGTGCCTCGTTTATTTGATTTGTGTGCCTGGTTGATTGATTGATTGATTTGATTTATTTGCACCAAATATTTGTGCCTTATTTATTTATTTATTTGATTTACTGTATACAGCTGCCCATGTTATACAAATGACTCTGGGGTGCTTACAAGATTAAAACAGGCAAGATGTCTTCTCTGGTGGTTTGTTCTCCTTAGTTGTAAGTATAGGTAGTCCTTGAGTTACAACAATCCGTTTAGTGACCGTTCAAAGTTACAACGGCACTGAAAAAAAGTGACTTATGACTATTTTTTCACACTTACGACCGTTGCAGCCTCCCCATGGTGACGTGATTTACATTCGGTTGCTTGACAACTGGATCATAGTTATGACGGTTGCAATGTCCAGGAGTCATGTGATCAACTTTTGCGACCTTCCGACAAATAAAGTCAAGTCAGGGCTTGGAAGAGCCTTGGTGGTGCAGCGGACTAAAGTGCTGTTAAGTAGCACTTAGCTGCCAGCTGCCTGCAATTACTGCGAGTTCAAATCTCACCAAGCTCACGGTTGACTCAGCCTTCCATCCTTCCGAGGTAGGTAAAATGAGGACCCAGATTGTGGGGGCAATAAGCTGACTTTGTATAAAAAAGAACACAGCTTAGGGGGGGCCAAAAGCCCTACTAAGCAAGTATATACAAATGTATGAAGGCTATTGCTTAACACATTGTAAGCCGCCCTGAGTCTCCGGAGAAGGGCGGCATATAAATCGAACCAATAAATAAATAAATAAATAAATAAATAAATAAATAAATAAATAAATCGAGAATCCAGATTCACTTAACGACTGTTTTACTAATTTAACAGCTGCAGTGATTCACTTAACAAATGTGGCAAGAGAAATCATAAAAAGGGGCAAAACTCACTTAACAAATTTCTCATTTAGCAACCTAAAGTCTGGTTCAATTGTAGGCGTAAGTTGAGGACTACCTGTAGTAAACCCAAGCTTTCCTGGAATGGATTTTTCCAAGGAGATAACCTTCCTCCTCCTTGATCCCATTACTTTCCCATTCCATACTGGAATTCCAGTATGGAATTATACATTCCATAATGGAGAAAATAGCTGAGGAATAAACATGTACATTTAAAAAAAAAAAAATCTCAGCCACTGTTTCTCATCTATACAACACATTCCAACAAAATGGATACCCACACAACTTTATCAAAAAAAATCCCTGACCACTCAACCCAATACAGCACAACCAACACAAACCCTAAAAAGAATTACACTACCATACATCAAGAATATCTCAGAAACCACAAATAGACTACTGCAATCACATGGAATCGGTGTAGCACACAAGCCAACTAAAGCCATTCAAAACATCCTAAGCAGACCAAAAGACCCAGCAATCTCAGAAGGAGTCATGTACCATATACAATGTAAGACAGTGGTGAAATCCGAGCCAGTTTGCTACCGGTTTGATGGCCGTGCATGCGCGCTGCATGCAAAATGCACATGCGCAGTGCACATGAAAAGGAGGCTTGGGAAGGTAAGTAGAACAGCAAGGGGGGGATCAGCTGTGGCGTGTAATTTAGCTTTGCTAGAAAGCAGGATTTCCTGCTTTCTAGGAAAGTTAAACCCCGCTGCACAGCTGATTGTTGGAAACACCGGTTCGGAAGAACCAGTAGCTTTTTAAACTGCCGGTTCAACCGTCGGTAGCTTTTTTTTACTACCAGTTCACCCAAACCGATAGTTTTTATCACTACCGGTTTGCCCGAACTGGAGTGAACTGGTAGCATTTCACCCCTGATGTAAGAACTGCAACAACCATTATACATAAATAACTTTATTGTCATTGTACGTGTATACACAGTATACCCATACAACAAAATTCACTTAACACCCAAAGACCAGGTCCAACACACATAACAATTCCCAAACACACTCCCACCCACCATAATTCCCCATCCCTAAATCACCCAAACATCTACCCAACAGTCCAAGTAATGCTGTCCAACAGCTCACTGATGATGGCCCTTTAGTTCATTGTTGAGTGCAATTATAGCTCTGGGATAAAAACTATTCAGAAAATGTGTGGTCCGAGTTTTAATTGTTCTGTATCTTCTGCCAGAAGGCAGCAGTCCAAATCCAGATTGTAAGCAGGATGGGAAGAGTCTCTGAGAATGTTATGCAACTTTCTCAAACAGCGAGATGCAAAGATGTCATCCAGGGCTGGTAGCTGAAGTCCAATGATATTCTGGGCAGTTTTAATGATTCTCTGTAGAGCTTTTTTGTCCACTACAGAGCTGCTCCCATACCATGCAAGAATGTCGTATGCCAGGACACTCTCAATGGTGCTGCAATAATAGGACAGAAGTAGATGCCGTAGGACAAACAGGCAGAAGATTGGCAGAACGCATCCATGAACACCAACTGGCAGTCGGAGGACATGATGAACATTCTTTAATTTCACAACATATAGACAGATTTAACCATAGTTTCAATTGGGAAAATGTGACAATCCTAGACCACGCCAAGTCCAAAAATGCCAGGGAATTTCCAGAAGCCTGGCACTCTGGCAAATCAGCCATCAATAGACACATAGGCATTAACAACATCTATAGACTATGCAAAAGAGATAATCAACCAACCCAAAAGAGGGAAAAACTCCAGCCCCTCTCCATCAGTAATCAGCACCCAGCTCAGCATAGATTAACTCCAAGGTTAACTTTAGACCAACAATCAAGTAAACAATACCCCAATCAAGAAACTGATCTCTACAACCCCCACCCCCACACAGATAGGCAAGTCACCAGAATATGAACTGACAGCAAACAACACTCCTTACTACCACTGATGATGTTACCTTGTTAAGTTAATGAAACATCTGCAAGAAAACAAACAAGCTCAGAGAGTATCTCATTTCAACCCTGAGCTACAAATATTCTTTTATTGGTTTCTCTAAGGCAGGGCTGTCCAACTCCTGGCCCACGGGCCGGATCTGTCACACACTGGCCACACCCACACTCATTTTAGCGAAGGGGGGAGTCTCAATACGTCACATGATGCCGCCGTGACAATGTGAGTTTGACACCCCTGCTCTAAGGTTACACCAGATGGATTTTGTAGTAACTCCAGGAAACCAAATATATTATATAGAAGAGCTATGGGTATTATATACTAGAGAAAGCCATGAGGCTGATGGTGCACCACTGACTTTGTCCTGATCACTGAGTACACTACTAGTAGTATGCGGTGGTGGGTTTCAAAATTTTTTATTACCGGTTCTGTGGGTGTGGCTTGATGGGCGTGGCATGGTTTGGTGGTGTGGCTTGGGTGTGGCAGGGGAAGGATACTATAAAATCTCCATTCCCACCCCACTCCAGGATAAGGTTACTGCAAAATCCTCATTTCCTCCCAATAAGCTGGGACTTGGAGGCAGAGAAAGATGGGGGCAGGACCAGTCGGTTCTCCAAACTACTCAAAATTTCCGCTACCGGTTCTCCAGAACTGGTCAGAACCTGCTGAAACCCATCTCTGGCTGTATGGCTGTATGGTTTAGCAATGGATATTCAGATCCCAATTATGGTCATAAGCTGAGGACTAACTGCATTGGGTGTGAACTTTTGAGATGAAGAATCCTATTTATTTGCTGGGTTGGTTGATTTGCTATGAGGACTTACATATGAAATTCTGAGTGGCCCACATACCCTTGTAGGGCAAGAAGGTTAACAACGTTAAATCATAGGAACAAAAAGAGCAATTACAAAAAAGAAAATCGTTGCAATAGACTATGCCAAGAGGAATAGCAAAACACAAAATCAATTCTCAAATGGGAGGTCTAGCAAATCTGCTTCCATGACCTCCTGAATAGCCACAACATTTGGCCTTCCAAAAAAAAAAACCAACAACCCAACATCCTAATCTTGGATGCAATGTTTTCCATGGGAGGACTGCAACCGAAAGTCTTGTCTCCATTATCACTTTAGATTAAGGTGACCAGATTTTAACATTGGTAAAGAGGGACATTGTAGGCGTGGCTTATTTTGTGGGCGTGGCTAGCTGGTCATGTGACTGGGTGGGCGTGGCTAGCTGGTCATGTGACCGGGTGGCCATGGCTATGTGTATAGGGTAAGGTGAACAGATTTTAACATTGGTAAGAAGGACACCATTGTGGGCGTGGCTTATTGTGTGGGCGTGGCTTGGAGGCCATGTGACTGGGTGGGCGTGGCTAGCTGGTCATGTGACCTGGTGGCCATGGCTATGTGTATAGGGACTACTCAGAGGGCTGAAAAGTCATTTCTGACAGGTCCTCACACTTTTGACTGGTCCTCACACTTATGACCATCCTCACATTTATGCCCTTGCAGCATTCTTAACAACATGTCACTCATTTCACAACTGCTTCTCTTCACCATGGTGACAAGATAGGGCAAAAACGTAAAATGTGAGGACAGTCGTAAGTTCAAGGACTGGTCAAAAGTGCGAGGACCAGTCAAAAATAACTTTTTCAGCCCTCTGAGTAATCCATATGCATAAAAGGATACAGTAATAGAGAGGGATGAAGGAAGGGAAGGGAAATTAGAGTAGGAGTGACGGTAAGAGAGGGAGGAAGAGAGGAGGAGAAGGAGAAAGGAAGAGGAAATAGGGAGGAGAAGAAGAGGGTGGGGGGAAGAGAAAGTAAGAAGGAAAGAAAAGAGAGGTGGTAGGTTTGAGGAGAAAGATTGCTGTACAATAAAAAAGATGAAAGGGAAGAAAGCCAACCCCAAACAAATATAAAGATATTAAGATAAAGAATGAATTGTTAAACTTTAAAGAATAAAAGAGAACAAATATGAATAAATAGCAATAATTAGAAACACACATACAAACATACAATGTATTTTCTTTGAACAGAATATTTGGCCGGTTCACAAATTTAAACAGTGTTTAGTCATTTCAATTAAATTTACAATTTCTATATTTCCTTTTTGCCATATTTATTCCTCATCTATTTTTTTAAAAAAACAATATTACCCTTCATCCTCATCTCTAATCTTAATCAAATTCAATTTTTCCCTTCTATTCTATATTATACCCCTTCCCATTGTCATCTATTTTTATATCCATCCTCACATTGGTTAATTATGTAATTATGTAATACAGTTGTTTAATACAAATTCAACATTTTAATATAAATCAATTAGTTATATAACTATCTTTTTTGTATATTAATCAATATGAACATGAATATTCCAATTATTTCCATGCAATCCAATTTCTTACAAATCAATTAATTATATTTACCAATAATAATAAACCAAATAATTTCCCCCATATATTCCTCCAAAACACAACTTAACCATTTCTGCTTTCAACACAGTATACAATTAATAGTATCTCAATTATTACAATTCCCTAGTTAAAAAGAGCTTTTTTTTCTTTTGTGTTTTAAAATCTTGAATCTAAAATCTTGAATTTAAAATCTCTTTTGCCCTAAATAATTTCCCATTGTTTGCACCTACCTTTTTTGGTGAGGAAAAGGAAAATAAATCTGCTGCCTAATTTTCCAACATTGCAAGCAAACAGCAAAGCCAACAGCCTGTTTTACTTTCAGTTTCGTTTTGAGCTTGGTTTGCACAAAGAGAAAAAAAAACTGCTGAGCAATTTAGCAAGAGCAGAGCCCTGCGCAAATCAGCTGAGAGGGGGAAGCCGAGCTAATCAACGTAGGGCGGCCCTTTGAAGCCCCGCGGCAAGAGTTTAAACATGTTTTTTCCCTCTAGCCATCAGCAGGGACTCAGGAGGCAGCCGGGACTCAGGAGGCAGAATGAAAAATCGGGACTTTTTTAAAACGCCGCGGGACGCGAGACAAATTGCTCAAAAGCGGGACTGTCCCGCCAAAAGCGGGACGTCTGGTCACCTTACTTTAGATTAATACTTCCTCAAAAGGGGAGAAACCCAGATCTACTCTTCCAGATCTTATACCACAGCTCCTTGCTCATTTATTTATTTATTTATATTTATTTATTTATTTATTTGTTTCCATTTATATACCGCCCTTCTCCAATAGGACTCAGGGCGGTGAACAGCCGAAATAAAAACAGAACATACAAAATTTAAAAGCAGTTTAAAATGATTAATTTTTTTTTTTGGCCGTAATTTAAAACAACCCAATTTAAAATCAATTAAAATTTAACTCAAAACTGTGGGATCAAGCCAGCCCAGCTCATATGCCTGGAATGTCCCTACAATCAGAGCTTATATTTACATAATGGTTCCTGAAGAGGAGTACTGAGGAAGACTTTTTAATTATAACTCATCTTCTGAAGCAGTTCAGCTGCAGAGGTTTTTTTAGTATACCACAAACTGCTTACTGAAATGTGGAGTAAATGTGCAAGTGCAAGATATTTCAAACCTAACTCAACTACATCAGCAAAAAAAAATGTGGCATGATAGGGGAAGAGACAATAGGAAGTGGAAAGTGTCTGGAGAACAACCTGTACTTTTAAAGGTATATGGCATATTATTTTTCAGTCAGCCATGGGGTTTAGGTTTTAGAGCAGAGATTAGGAATCTGTAACAGTGTAGGGTTGTTATGAGTTGGGCAGTATTATAAATTTTGTAAATATCCTAATAGTTCCAGCCAGATCCCCAAGACTCCTTTATATTGTGCTACAGAATGTTCGTGAATTCTACTTTAGCAAACCATTTCCAGCACGGCACGTTATTGCAAATTATATTATTTTAAGAGTGATCCAGGAAGCAAATACTGTATTCTATATAAAAAGGTGTAATGTAACAGCAGCACACTGAGTTCTGTCTTCACTATGCTTCTTTTTATATAGAAATTCTGTAAATTTTGAAAAGTGGTGATATATCACCTCTCCTTTACTTCCTTTTTTTTAAATAATATTTTTATTATAGTTTTTCTTTTTCATAACTCTAATACATAGTCAAACAGACAGTGTCATTTTTCTATACTTTGGATTACCAATTCATGTAATATATACATTATATACATACATACATACATACATACATACATACATACATATATATATATATATATATATATATATATATATACATTTAATGTCTACTCCTCAAATTCCTTGTGTATATTATCTATTTTTGTTTCTGTTGTCTATCAACCTATACCATTTTTCCCAAACCGCATAATATTCCGAATCATCCTTTTTTTTTTTTAACTCTAGGGTAAGTTTGTTCATTTCGGCACATTCATATATTTTCAGGATGATCAATCCCTCTGGTGGTATGTTGTGTTCCTTCCAATACTGTGCAAACGCAATTCTTGCTGCTGTTAGTATGTGTAGGATCAAATATCTTATTTTTTTTAATCAAATTTAGTTTTTAATCTTCCCAGGAGAAATGTTTCTGGATTTAGTTCAATTTGACAATTTATTAGGTCTTGTAGCCAACCTTGTATCTTGGTCTCTCCTTTACTTCCTATCACACACACCCACATACACACACACTTTTCCCCCCTTACGTTCAACAATGTCTGATTCAGGGGTGGGTTCAACTTACCTTTACTACCGGTTTGCAGCGGGGCCGCACACGCACGCTCTTCTGAGCATGCGCAGAAGCTTTTGACGTCGGGGTCGGTGGGCGGAGCCTCCTACCGGTTTTACTACCGGTTGTATAGAATCAGTATGAACCGGGGGCAACCCACCACTGGTCTGATTCTTGGAGAGTGCCTGCACAAGTCCCTGCAGGTTTTTTGTGGGCAAGTTTTTTCAGAAATGGTTTGCTAGGGTTCCTAGGGCTGAGACAAAATATTTGGCCTCATGTCACCCAGTTGACTTTATGCCTAAAGTGGGACTAGATTCTCCTGATTTTTAGCCTGATGCTTTAGCCACTACACCAAACTGTCTCTCAATTCCTGGTGTAAAGAAACATAGTGTTGTGGCCCGCCAGCGGCCTGCGTGGATTGTTGCTGATCCCAATGAGGAGGAGGCTGGTGTGGTGCTGCGCTAGCAGCCTGTGCAGCCGGCGCTTGAGTCGGACAGCGAGGAGGCTGAAGAAGATGTGGTGCCAGAGGCAGGGATTCAGTCAGGGCCTTCAAAACCTCCAGAGGCTCCTTTAAGTGAAGAGGATGAAGAGGAGGAGCTTCTTCTCAATGCACGGGCACGCAGAGCTGCCAAAAGACAGGAGTGGTTCCTCAGGAGGAGGTCTCATCGAGAGTAAGGCTTGGGGCTAATTGGCCACGCCCTTAGCCTATTTAAGAAAGAAGCAGCTTGTGACAAGCTGCAGGAAACAACTTTAGTTCGCTAATCATCACGTTGGGATCTCTCTGCAACCTTGCTTCTGGGCTTTCTGCCAACTCCAGTAAGACTCTGACTATCTTATCTGTGGAATTCTGGCAGGCTGTTAAGAATGCTTATTAACAGCCGGCATTTGCTAAAACTGTGTTATTTGAGTAAACTAAGTTTTGTTCAGAGTTTGTGTGTGCTGTTTTCTTTGGGATCCGTAGCTGGGGCAGAACACATAGATACTCTCAGTCATAAGACAAAGGAAGAAAAACAAAAGACTTCCAAGTCGTCCCAGGCATCAAGTAGCTCAAACTCCCAATCTCTTTAGCTCCAATGACAATGAATGCAATGAATGCAGAACTGCTTTCTCTTTGGGGGTGGGGGGTAATTGAAGCACAACTTCCCATTTGTTGTAAATTATACTTTCTACATACCGTTAGGCAAAATGTTTCCAGGAGAAAAGGCTACAAAATATGCATTTGGATGTTTTATGTCAGCCATCGTACTACATGTGTCTTTGAGGCACTAGGAAAGTGTACCAGCCATGTCTTTATTGCTTATTGTGACATGCTTAGGTCATGCTAATATATTTATTTATTTTATTGATTGATTAGCTTGTCAAACATGTACAAGATAGCAGGTATAAATATGAACACGGACATGAACAAAGGAAATGAATACAAATAAATGGGGACAGTAGGACAGGGAGGGTAGGCACGCTGGTGCACTTATGCACTTCCCCTTTACGGGGAATAGGGTGAGGTCCACGGTAGACAGTTGAAGGTTGAAGCTGTGAAGGTTTGAGGATGTAACGATGGAGTCGGGTAGATTTTGGATTCCTACCCTTAACAATTCTACTGTTGAAAGGGCCCTTCCACAAAACAAAAGACAGCTAGGGCAGCATGAAAAAAGAATCAATTTGCTATTGAGTATTAGGGAACAACTGAGGATGTCTTCCTTCCTCTTCCTCCTTGGAAAGCTAAAGTTATACCTGCAATTTTGGATCTTTGGGGAGGTGTTTACCTTTTTGTCACAGCAGACCTGAGATTTAATTTATTATTTTCTTACTAAACAGTGCAAGTCTTGGACAATATATATAAAATGTCTCTTGGCTCCAGTCTAAACAGTGGTGCAAATATTTCAGAATTTAAGCATCAATCGCATGTTCCGCAAATATAACAGGAAGAGAGAGACATTATGGTAGGCAAGGGAAGGGAAGATCTAGTCAGCAAAACAACACTCGTCTGCAATCAACGTCTCAAAATCCTCTATCACCACAAAGTGTGTAGCAAAAAGTTGAACGTTGTTAGCCATACAGGAAGCTAAACACTGAGTTATCTCTAACCGGAGATCAGAAGCCTCAAACCAGGAAAGCCTTCAAACTAGCTGCAGCGTTTGTGAACGCTGCTGCAAAAGGACCTCCCTGACTTTTGCTTTCTTTCTCCTTTGCAGGATGGCAAGGCAAATGTGAAGTCCATCATGGCGAAGTTTAATAACAACGCAGCTGAGGATGTTCATTGCCATCAGGTCAGAACTGGGGGGCACCCTCCTTTGGCTAAAAAAGCAGCCTTTGAGAAGTTCGCCCAGCTTGAAAATGCTGGTCTGTCTTCCAAACCCAACAGCTTTTACAAGCCAACATTGCATAAATTGCCTCCGAGCACAAAACCTGGTCTTCATGATGCATCAGGCAAGGATTTTAAAACACCACCTTTGCAAAACAGCCCTGTGGCCAGCAAGGTGAAGATGCTAGCTGAGGCTGCTAGCCGAGAAGCTAATGAAAAAACTACCTATCCAAAGCCTTCAGTTCCCAAGATTTCTGAAGGACTAAGAGAAGAAACCAAGCCAGTGTTCCCAAAGATTCCTGAGAAGAAGCTATCTGGCTCTCCTCCTCACAAGAATGAACCAAAGCCTTTAGAGCAGAGATTGTTCAAACCTGAACCCCGAGGAAGTGAAGCAAAGCCTGCCTTTCCCACAGTCGCTGGAGTTAAAGAAAAATTCAACAGCACTGCTCAGGAAAACAACTCCAAGCCTCTTTTTCCAAAGCCACCTATTAAGCAAAAACCAAGTCAAAGTTTCACCCAAGATGAGGAGGTTTCCAACAAAAGTGCTAGTTTCAATCAGGTATCACCAAGTTCCAGCGGCCTCAAGTCGAAAGCTGGTTCCATCCGACCCCTCAAAGATCCACAGGACAAGAGCAGAAATGAAAGTCATCCCATCATCCCTTTCCCACCTTTGAAACCTGTCAGCAACCAGAACAACCTGCCTCAAATCCTCCCTAAATCTGTTGGGCAGCAGAATGAAGAGGCAAAACCAAAACCCATCAAGAATATTTTCCTACAAAACAAACAAGAGGATTCTGGATCTACTTCTGGTACCATTGCTGCTAAATTGGCCAATTCATCTCGAACAGTTAAGGCAGGACCTTGGGCCAATAATACTGGAAAAGAAGACAAAGACAAAGACAAGAATTTGCCCAGACGAAAAACACTACCTTCAACAATTGCATTGGGACAAGCCCCACAAAAGCCTAACAGGCCTCCAACAGTTGACTTGGAAAAATTCAGGAGAAGTCATGGGGAAGGTGAGTAATGTGTCTGGATTTATGGTTGATTTTATGCTTGGCAAAAGCTTGTCTGTGCTTAAAGATTATCTGCAAGCTGGTCCTATGGTTATTCTATTTAAATGTGAACTGTACATCTTCAGGATTTGCAGCCTTAAATATTTGGAGGCATGTGGTTGGGGTGATTATTATTTGCTATTAGATGCTGCTGGGATTCTGTTTCAGCTTGTACTGGAGTGTGGACAAAGTTCCAGAGATATGACAGAGTTTTGAGAAGGTCCAAGAAGATTTACAGTACTTAATGTTCCTCAACAGCCATTGTCTTCTCTCAAGTCCCTCTTTCATTTGTCTTTCCTCCCCATGAAAATCCTTCTGCTCATTTTCTTGAGCTCTGTTTCATAACAAAGTGATCTAAGGAAGGTAACTTGGAGCAACAACGATGTGACCACAACATTGCTACGCATTTCCTTCTCTTCCCCCACCCCACGTTTTATGGATGTCACAATGTTGTTGTACTGAAAACTGGCTTACTGCTTCAACAGTAATATTCCATACGTATTGAGATAACCTCTATTCTCAAGCACAGGTAGGAACTCCATCTATATAAAAGGGATACATTTGATACCAAGAGAAGGTGCAATATCGTGCTCACTTCCGCCTCTATTTTAGGGGTGTGGGGAAAAATATATAGGCTATGGTGGTCCATGGTGTTGTGAAGAGTCTGACACAACTCAGCAACTGAACAACCACAAAATAAGCATAGGAACAAGTTCTAAGAAGAGATATGGTTATCCCATTGGGGTTTCTTAGCACCTGAGAGAAAGAGTTATATCTTTCTGGGTCTGCTTTTTCCTATTTTGGAGTTTTAGACTTATGAAATGCATGATTTATTTATTTATTTATTTATTTATTTATTTATTTATTTATTTATTGGTTTGATTTATATGCCGCCCTTCTCCGGAGACTCAGGGCGGCTTACAATGCGTTAAGCAATAGCCTTCATACATTTGTATATACCTGCTTAGTAGGGCTTTCGGGCCCCCCTAAGCGGTGTTCTTTTTTATACAAAGTCAGCTTATTGCCCCCACAAACCGGGTCCTCATTTTACCTACCTCGAAAGGATGGAAGGCTGAGTCAACTTTGAGCCTGGTGAGATTTGAACTTGCATTAATTGCAGGCAGCTGGTGCTAGTTAACAGCACCTTAGTCTGCTGCGCCACCAAGGCCTCTGATCTCTGGAAGCCATATATAGAGACTGACAGATGGAAATTATATGTTCATCCCACTTTCCTTTGCAGGCTTAAGGTAACGCACATTGGAGAATCCCCTTATTTTACCGTCACATTCACACTGTGTGTGAGAGAGCCAGGCCTAAGGTTAGCTGTTGTGACCCAGGCCCACGTAGTTGATACTAAATGCAAAACAGTTCCAAAAAACAAACAGATTTTATTAAAACAGATGAGAATTAACTCATTCTCAGCGTATTCTAAATGAAATGAAAGCAAAGTTCTCAAAACACGAGTCTTTAGTTTATCTCTGACTTTGGGATAATTAGGCAAACTGCCAAAGTCTTGGCAACAGTTCAGGAACAGAAGAAATAACTACAGCCAAACAAGAAGCAATTCTCTCAATGGTTGTTTTCCGGCAAAGAGGCCAAGAGCCATTGCTGGTCTTTTAAGCCTTATGGAAGGGGCCAATCATCTCTTGGCCCTACTCCCACGTTGTCCTCTCTGCTTTAGTTGCTCCTGCCTTCTGGCAGCGCTTCTCATACGTGCACTAGGAACAGGCTCCTCCTGTTCCTCTGCCTCTCTACTGTCAGCCTCTGGAGGCTCCGAAGTCCGCACATCACTCCCCGATGACCCTGGCCCCATCTCTGCCTCTGACGCAGAGCCCTCATCTGGGCCTTCCCCAGCCTCCAGGACTGGCCCATGTTCTTCCTCAGCCTCATCACTGTCCGACTCCACTGCCAGCTCCACAGGCTGCTAGCGGACCACAACATTATCCAGTGAACAATGGCTGCGTAAAGACTATTTTGTTTTTCCCAGTCCCAGTTCTACATCTTAAATGTTACATCACAATTGTTTTCTTGATACCAAAACAGTTTAGAGTTTAGAGTTACTGACAGGACTATCTAGGGAGAAAAAGGATTTGGGGGAGGGATGGCAGAAGAGTTTGTACTTTTTGTTTGCATAGTCTCGCCCGTGGTACCATCTTTTAAAAGCACATGACTATATGTACTATAAAAGGGACGTGGTGGATCGACCTTTGTTGATCAAAAGGTTGGCAGTTCAGCTGTTCAAATCCGTAGTGTCAAATAACAGAGTGAGCTCTTGTTACTTGTCCCAGCTTCCGCCAACCTAGCAGTTCAAAAGCACGTAAAAAATGCAAGTAGAAAAATAGGGACCACCTTTGTTGGGAAGGTAACAACGTTCTGTGTGCCTTTGGCGTTTAGTCATTCCGGCCACATGACCACGGAGACATCTTCGGACAGTGCTGGCTTTTCGGTTTTAAAACAGAGATAAGCATCGCCCCCTAGAGTCGGGAACGACTAGCACATATGTGCGAGGGGAACCTTTACCTTTACCTTACAAGTACTATACAATGATATACACTATATCACTGTAAAATATGTAATTATTGTGTAGATTTCACACCTTTAATGTAGCATGATCTAGCAAAAATTGTCTATCCCCTAAATATTTATTCAAACTTCATCTATTCTTTCTTGGTTCTTTTTTAGTTTATGCTATGGTTTTTATTACAGTTTTGCTATAAAATGTCTAAAATTGGAAGTCCACCAAGAGTTAAATCAAGTAGCATGAGGAACACGTGTTTATTACATTCCAGTCTTAGGGAATTATGAAAATAGCAAGAGCTGCTACTATCACTACCTGCCTTTAGTAGAAGGAAAAGAGTCCTAAGGAAGTTTAGTAGAAGGAAAAGAGTCACCTCCACACAAAATTTGCTCAAACACCATTCCAAGATAACACTCCGCAAGAAAATAGCATGAGCAATAAAGCTTGTTCCTTGTTGCTATTTGTAAGCTTATAATTATAAAAATGTGACAGCATATTTTGTGCTCACATTTAATTTAATCCTGGTGCTATGAAAACTCTTATGAAAGCTACACTTTTTATTCCATTTGGGTGGCATTTTACATTTCTGTTGTCCTGTTCCTTCTGCATCTTTAACATTTCTGCTAAAATTCTTTTCAATTGGATCACATTGATTGACCATAAAGGTAGTCCTTGGCTTACGACCACAATTGAACCCAAAATTTTTGTTGCTAAGTGAGACATTAGTTCAGTGAGTTTTGCCCCATTTTACCACCTTTCTTGGCACAGTTGTTAAGTGAATCACTGCGGTTGTTAAATTAGTAACACAGTTGTTAAGTGGAACTAGCTTCCCTAATGATTTCATCAGAAAGTTGCAAAAGATAATCAGATGACCCTGGGACATTGCAACGGTCATAAATATGAATCAGCTGCCAAGCATCTGAATATTGATTGCATGACCATGGGGATACTGCAACAGTTGTAAATATGAAAATGGCCATAAGTCACTTTTTTCAATGCCTTTCTAACTTTGAATGGTCACTAAGAGAACTGTTGTAAGTCAAGGACTACTGCACTTTTAGTCATTATTTGATTTAAGTCTCATTTTTCCAGCAAAAAAAAAATTGTCAAAGAAGTTTACTATGAAGGAAAACCTATTATTTGAAAAAGGTAGTTTAAAAGCAGTATTCAAATAATACAGTATATTAATTACTAGTCAATGTATAGCAATCTAATTCTTATATGATCAACATGTGAATAGTTGTAGCCATGTCCTAATCTGTTCAGGTTGCATATTAAATATATTTAATATGCATGGGTGTTCTTCATCTTTGCACCATTTGGAAATTTTTAATCCACTCATACATCATGCATGGATAGATATGAAATTCATTGCCACATCATTGGCATTGCCTCAGGGGCCTTAAAAGATTAAGCAGATTCAAGGGAAATGCACCTATCCCACTTACTTAAAGGTTGACAACTTTCCCAGGATACATGTACCATCAAATATTGCAAATGTTTGGACCTGAATGGGAAAGGTCCAGATTCAAGTTCATTGTCAACCATGGAAATTTACTAACTAACCTCTCAGCCCAACCTACCATAGGGAGTTGAGGAATGAAATAAGATCCCTTATAAGTCACCTCCTGAAGAAAAAGTTGGAAATAAATCTAACAAATATTTTGTGATCTTATAAAATGCCAGCCATTCGGGATATTGTATTGGTTTAATTTGAAATTAATGTTGAGAGCCTTCATTCTTGCAGATAATTGGACATCCTTCCAAGATATTTATAGAATAGAATAGAATAGAATTTTTTATTGGCCAAGTGTGATTGGACACACAAGGAATTTGTCTTGATGCATGTGCTCTCAATGTACATAAAATAAAAGGTATGTTCATCAAGAATCATAAGGTATAACACTTAATGATAGTCATAGGTTACAAATAAGCAATCAGGAAACAATATCAATATAAATCGTACATAAAAGATACATTTGTCAAGAATCATAAGGTACAACACTTAATGATAGTCATAGGGAAACAGTCAATATAAATCTTAAGGATACCAGTAACAAGGTTACAGTCATACAATCATAAGTGGGAGGAGATGGGTGATGGGAACGATGAGAAGATGAGAAGATTAATAGTAGTGCAGGCTTAGTAAATAGTTTGACAGTGTTGAGAGAATTATTTGTTTAGCTGAGTGATGGCGTTCGGGAAAAACTGTTCTTGTGTCTAGTTGTTCTGATGTGCAGTGCTCTATTTTGAGGGTAAGAGTTGAAACAGTTTATGTACAGGATGTGAGGGATGTAAAACAGCATTATTCAAACATCTCCCCTTCCAACTCCATTACTGCTGATCACATTAGAAGAATTATGAATGGACTCCATAACAGATACTATCAAGAGCCTTGATAGTACAGTGGTCTAAGCACCCTGTTATTAACACAGCTGCCTGCAAT